AGTAAGACTCCAACTCAAAAAAAAAAAAAAAAAAGAAACAAGCAATTAAAAAAATTCTGCCTTTATGGGAAAATAATAAACAAGTAAAAGGTTTAGTCTGTCCAATAGTGATAAAAGTTTTGAATAAAACTAGGGCAGGGCAGATAAGGGGTTGAGGATCTTGCCATAGAGATGAAGATGGAGAGGAATGGACACATGAGATGTGAGTAAATCTTACGCAGTGGGACTAGAGGAGAGAGCAATGAGGTCAAGCAGGTGGCCTGAGCCAGAGTTTGAATGTTCCTTTAGTCTTTCAGGAAAGATTGTAAATTCCTATTTAGCAATTAATATACATTCATATTTTCAGGTCCAGCTAATTGTATTCCCATATGGTAATTATTTGATCAAGCATTTATAAAAATCCTTAGGGTCAAAATTCACTTGAAAACATATAGAATCTTAGAGCTAGAAGCAACTTCAGAGATGAACCAGTCAAAACCTCCTGTTTTATAGATGAAAATGAGAGCCAAAGAGGTAAACTAGATTAGATACATATACATATATATTACGTATTATGGAAAAGATATTCTTCTAGGTTAAATTATTTGTCCTAAGCTAGAAAACTGATTGATGGTAAAGATAGGACCAGGGTCTGGGCTTCTTTTGAGTTCATGATAGAAATTTCTTCAATAGTGTCCATTATGGTAAAAATCTTGGGTACCAATCTCTTAGTCCAACCTCAATTCGTAAGAGAGAAAATTCAGCCCTAGAGATGTTAAGGATCCAGCTTAAAGTAGGCATCAACATTCTTTTTAGGTTATCTGAAAGATGAAGAATAGAGAAAGAACAAAAAAGATTAACCTTGGAGTCCTGCTGAGATGTCCCTTGCTCTCGCTGGAGGGACAAGCAAACAATTGCAGATACCATAGGCCTGATTCTGGGTGCTATTGGGGTAGAAGAGCACAGAATCGGTGGGTTCAGCCACTGCTGAGTTCAGCCACTGCTGAGTGTTCAGCGGAGTTCAGTTACTGCTTCTTGAGTGTCTGCTTTGTGTGCTCTCTAGCTTCTTCTAGCTGCAGCTCCAACTTCCGGGGCCCCTGCTGCTGGAGCACCAGCCTGTCAGCTGAGCTTATCTCCCTCCTTGCCACGAAGCCAGGAGTGAAGCTTCCATGTTCTTCCTCATCTCATATGCTGGCTCTATTCCAGGGGATCCGGGATTCATTCTCATGGTACCCCCTCCTCATTTTGAGTCTTCTGCTTTTATGCTTAAAATACAAATTTTGCATTTTTGAGAATCTTTGGGGACCCAGAATCTCAAAAGCTTGTTGGGATACTGGAAGAGGGGAAGCAGACAGCGTTGATCCAAGACCTCTCAGATTGTGGGTGGGACTGCCAAATAAAATGAAGAAGGCCTAGTGAAATTTGGATTTCAATAAAAATATGTCCCAAGTATTGCTATATATTAAAAATATTAATTATTGTTTTCTAAAATTCAAACTGAACTGGATATTCTATATTTTTATTTGCTAAGTCCAATATTATATTTGTAGGGATTGGGGGCAAGGTTATAGCAGTTATCAGAGTTTACCTTTGTTTGAACTGTCTGAAGTGGAAAAGTGGGAAAAAAAAAGAAGCAAAAGAAACATAACAGTTTTTTAGAAGCAAAATCCATTAATGAACCTTTCTCTCTATTTTTGATCTTTTATGTGTAAAGTGTGTGTGTGTGTGTGTGTGTGTGTGTGCGCGTGTGTGCACGTGTGTGTACATATGAATATGCACATATTTTGTAGAACACAAAAATTGATAATGAGAAACATTGATAATAATCCCGATTAGACATTTTATCAGCATAAGTGAGAAGATTAAAACTGCAAAAATGCGGTTAGTTTAAAGATAATACACATTATTGCATCTATGTAAACTGCCTACACTTTTCGGCCAACGGAGACACAGCGCAATCAGTTCTGCTTCTTCCCAGTCAATCTTTATGTGTTTTCAGAGAACCATGGAATGTTACCAAAAGAATCTAAGAAATTGCCTAGTCCAAACTTGACATTTATAGATTAAGTAACTGGGACCCCAAGAGAGGAAGTGACCAACCAAAGATCCCACTGCACATTAATATTAATAACAGAAGAATAATTTGTGAAGCATTTCTAAGGGTCTAAGAGCTAGGCCTCATTCTAAGTTCTCTACTTCCATTCTCACATTTATTTTTCACAACAACCCTATAAGCATTATTCAGATGAGGCTAATCCAGGCACAATTATGTAATTTACCTAAGGTTCAAGGTCGTTCAGCTAAGAAGCAGAGACCACTGCTCAACATCCGGCTCGTCTGACCCCAGACCTACACACTCAACCATGAGACCCTTCGGCCTCTCAAATGAGTTTGTATCACTAAATATGTTCATACATGTAAAATTTCAGAGTTTATTATAGCTGTAGCATAATTTTGTCCTTAATCACAAACTCAAATACAGCTTAGAAAGTTGGTCAGACATGGTTGGCATCCCTGCCAATTTCAGAGTGAAAACAGTTATCTGCTCACTCATAAACAAGCCCTGTCACAGCGAGTCCGTTGCTATAATCAAAGAACAATTTAGTTGCATTTATTTTTTGAAATATTTTTAGTGAAATACATAATACCAGGATCTACTATCAAAGCAAATATTCACCGTGAGATAGAAACAGTTTTATGAGTTTATAGTTTACAGTTTGACTTGCTCATGGAGGAGGAGAAGAGGAGGAGAAGGAGGAAGAGGAGGGCGAAGAAGAAGATGAAGAGGAAGAGAAGGAGGAAAAGGGAGAAGAGGAGGAAGAGGAGAAGAAAAGATGACAAGAAGGAGAAGGAGAAGGGGAAGGGGAGGAAGAAGGAGAAGGGAAAGAAGAAAAGAAGAAGAAGATGAAGAAGGAACATATACACAGCAGAGGGAGGGAGAGAGAGGGTTGAGGGGAGAGAGAGAGATCAAAACAAAGTTGGAGCCCTAACTCATTATTTGTGAAAAAATAAACTGAGTTCTCTCAGAGAGAGCCCTTTTGTTAGCATGTTGCCAGCCAGACCTCAATGGTGATACAGCTATAGTCATAATTATATCCAGAAATAATAACCACCATCTTCAACATTAAAGTAAGTTTTATATTCTACTTTTTTTCACTGTCTTTCAAGAGACTATGAATCTTTGCATCTTAGATAACCAAACCACTTTGTCCTTTCAGACTTCAGGTTTCTTGTTTATCAAAGGCAAAGGATTAAGCACGCCTGCTTCTGCTTTGATATCATGTTTTCCCCATGCTACTTTTTCTTATGACACAAAAGCCAGTATAAGCTTAAGAAAAAAAAAGTGAGGCTGGAATTCTCTGAAGCTCCAGGATCTGCAAGGTCTGCTTGGGAGACTCTAGGACTCCACCAATTCACTGAGATGGGAATTGGGAACCGTGCAAAAACTGTCTTTCCTCACCACTGTACTTTAGCTGAAGGAAGGATTCCTCTGATAAATCTGTTTTACAAGTCTACTATCAAGTATTTCACTGAATCCTGTTAGAGACAAACCGGCCCCTCCCCACCCTCCACGTTTAAACTAGCAAGGGAACGTTTAAAATGAATGCAGCTCCAAGCAAAACAAATCTACATCCTCTGTTCTTCAGAAAGGTGGCAGTGTTGCCTTGCGGTTTTGACCAAATTACAAAGCTGTGGCGAGGTCTCTAGATGATTAACAGACCAACCACCTCACCTCACCATGGAAAGGCAAGGACTTAATCCACTGTGGACCCCAGTGGCTGGCAGACTCATTCGAGGGCTTCAGGGCCTCAGTAGGCTTGTGGCCGCTTAAGCTCTTGAATTTTCAACTGGCTTCAACAGTGCAGATCCTAAGAAAATCTCCAGTTGACCCCACAGTCATCTAAAACCCAAGGCCATCTGAGAAAGTTATGGATAAATCTTACCTCCCAGGATCTACTTTTCTCATTTTTGAACCATCCATGCTAAATGAAACAATTGAATAGCCCCATTTAGAAGGGCTAAGGAAACATTGCTTAGCAAACTAAGCCCTGTAATATTGAATGCTCACATCAGAATTCTCCATAAAAGTAATCCATCTTCTAAATGTAACTTATATCATTATTAAGTTGATTGTTTATAAAACCAATATTATACACAGAGCTGCTGAAAAATAACTTTAGACATCAAGTGTCACCTTGTTTCCATGTGGGGACTCACACTACACAAACTCTTCCTGGAGAGCAGTGAGAGATCCCGTCTCTCCCTTTCACTCACCTCCACTCAACGTCCTTTGAGAAGTTTCTCCATGTGCCACTAACACAGAAATTTGGGGGGAAATTCTCCATTTATAAATATCAGATGGTTTGGGAAAAAAAATATTTGTGGCACTGGGTTCTTTTTTTTTTTTTTTCCTACAGTGATGTCATTTTAAATAGTTGGTGTGCTCCAAATTTGCTATTTTTACTTCCCCCAAGTGACTTTTTTGGGAAATACATTTGTTTGGATTAGCTACATTTTAAGTGACCCCTGTATCTAATACACAAATCAGGTCCATATTCTCAGCAATTATAACTGATATTACACAGCTTCCAAACTTGAAATCCTTTATTTGCTCATTTTCAAAGTTACTCCTTTTGGATGTACACCTCTAAAATTTCTATTCATAGGTACGCCGATAATAAATTAAATAAATAAATAGATAGATAGATAGGCTTGGCCTTTTCACAGTCGAAAAACCACACTTAACATCTCATATCATTTACAACAGAAGACATTAAAGACCCCCCAAAGTCAAATAAAATTCTTTGCTTCCAAAATGTGCTTTTGGGGAACAAAGTTGAGGTAGGCATGGCAGGCTTTGAAACATTTATTGGAAAGTAGTTTCTAGAGTTGAGAATTGCAGAAAAGGAAAGTTTAAGAAGGAATGGAATGCTAAGTGCCTTAGCCCTACCTGATCTGAACTTGCTCCTAATCAGCAAAGAATGCTCAGACCCCAGAAGTGTCATGTTGTCTCAGGAAGCCGCTGGTCCCTTTGCCAGACGCCCCCTGTTTTCCACCAGGAACAGGCTCCCGGGAGCCCAGCTGACCGCAGCTAACAACCCAGAATGCATCCAACTCTCCGTGAGTTCCCCTGGGTAGGAGTACAGTGGCAGCCAGTGTCCCCAGAAAACTGGCGCCTCCCCCCTCGCGGTGCGGGGCTAATTATCTCTTAGCCGGCAGGACCCTCCTCCTCCTCGGAGGTTGGCCAGGAGCAGCGGCATCCCAGGCGTTCCTGGCTGATGTCATAGGCTGCCCGCGATTGCGGAGTATCGCCACCACGCCTTTATGAAGGCCTCAAGTTTGCTATCTGATACTCTTTACTACTGACAGGCGCTCAGCCAATCAGGAGCGGCGAGCAGTGCTGGGGACCTGCAGCCGCCGGGGGAGCGTCGGTAGCGGAGTCTTAACTCTTTGCAGCGGACCGAGCGCCGCCGAGGCGCCAAGGGGCGAGGCGGGCCCGGGGTTGGGAATCCCGGGCAGGAAGCCGATGCCTCGAGGAAAGAAGGAAGGGCAGAGCCGCCTCTGGGCTCGCAGGTGGCGCGCGGCGCTGCGGCGGCGCCGGGAGCTCCAGGCCTGGGGTGGGCGTGCGCCGCCGGGGCTTCCCCCGCCGGGATCTCCTGCCAGTCCCGGGCAAAGACTGCGCTAAAGGGCGTGAGCGGCCGCGGACGGCTCACGAGGGGCGCTTTGAGAATACGCCGGACCCCTGAAAAGAAGCAAAACTTCCAACGGCCTCTCCGACGTTTGAGGGGACTCAGCGTACGGGCAGAGACGATTGTACATCTCGTAGCTCCAATATCGGACTTGGATACATGCTCACGGAGAAAATGAAAAGCCTTTCATGTTTCTAGGATATGCCTTTTGAGGGGTACAAATCTGACTCTGTGTCTGGAGATCCAACCGGGACACAATGCTCCCACTCCCCCACCCCTGGGAATGGGGAAAGATACATGAGTCAAATGCCCTATTGGGCTCTAAATAGGGTGGGAGCCAAGAAGGGAGGGGCTCTGGAGCAGGGGGCATGTCAGAGCTGGGGTTGGGCTTAGTTTGGAGAGGTTTAAAGGCTTTTCCTGCGAATGTGTCCCTCCTTGGGGGAAAAAGCCATTCCGCATCCAATACAGAGTTATTGCACAGCTAGAACGTCCTAGGTGTTTGTTATAAGGCACAGCAATCAATAAAACAAACGCCCTACTCTCAAGAAGCTGGCTTAATAGTAGGTTTCACAGAAAATCAAAACCATGCTAAGGAGATACATAATTTGGACTTGATTTATTTGCAGTCTCATATGCACGAGGACTCCTGGGTGTCCTGTATTACCTAGATGCCTATGTTGCAGAATTCCGAACCCTTAAAAGATCAGTGACAGATGGAGACCTTATGTGACAGTAACTCACAGGAACAACCTCTAATGCCTTGAGTCTGGGCCTCTGCCGCCATCTTCTGTTGTTGAAGACACCTGATTAGTCCTTGAGCTCACTCTTTGGATCTGACTTATATCCTCGTGTGCCAGAGAGGAGGTGGAGCAATTCCATCCATTCCTCTTGGGGATCCTGTCCTGGTGAGGCTGACTAGGTGTGGAGGAGAGATTATGTAACATTCCCACACACAGTGTGTTACTTTCCTATTTCTGCTGTAACCTGTGACCACAAATTTAGTGGTTTAAACAATACAAATTCATCATCTTGCTCTTCTGGAAGTTAGAAAATCAGAAATGGATCTTGCTGGATTAAAATCAAGATGTTGGAAGGGCTGTGTTCCTTTCTGGAGGCTCTAAGGAGAACCTGTTTCTTTGCCCTTTCCAGTTTCTAAAGGCCACCCATGTTCTTTGGCTCATGGCTCCTTTCTCCATGTTCAAGGCCAGCAATGGTGCTTCAAGTTCCTATTTCATATTATTGCTTTACTACCCACTTCCCTACCTTCTGCATTTGTCTTCCACATAAACCCTATTGTAAGGATAAACTCTGCTGATGGTGTACCTTAATCCCATCTGCTGCCTTACTTCCTCTTTGCTGTATAATGTAACAGATTCCCAGATTCCCAGGATTAGGATGTGAACGTGGAGGAGAATGCAGTATTCTGCCTGCTGTGCAGAGAGACCTGCCTTCCTCCCATGCATCTCCTTGTCCTCAGTCAAGCTCCAGACTCCTGGTCTTCAATGAGAAGAGGTAAAGTGGAAGGAGGCTTGGGAATGGGCATGCACAGGAGCCTGGAAGAACTCCAGCCAACTTTGAGATGTGTGTGGTGGGGAGGTACTCTGTGGGGAAAAGATTGGTGGGATAAGGGATATTGCAAAATTATTTGAGCAGAGAAGACTATTTTGAGCAACATTAAAAAAAAAAAGGAAAAAAGAAAAAACCAAACAGATTTTTATCCTGAAGGCTTTGGGGCTGAAAAGAGATACATGGTAACTTGGCGGAGGATTATTTTTTCAGTGAAAGTTGGGATGAAATTAACTGAAGCCAGCATTGGATGTAAGGGTCTGCATGACCTAGATGAGTTGGACAGGAGTTAGTTGTTTTCCCTCTGCAGGCTTGGGAGAGTGGTGTGTGTGTGTGTGTGTGTGTGTGTGTGTGTGTGTGTGTGTGTACCCGCGCACATGCAGGGGAGCATAGTTTCTTTTTCGGAGTGAGTTTGGGAAATGCCAGTAACCACAAGCCTCCTCAATTTTCCCATCACAATGTTGAACAGCTGACGTCTGTCCTTTGAGATTTGTACCCCTATGGGTTTGAATATCTATGGATAGAAATATGCTAGTATAGAAGCTCATCTCTTTTCTTCTCTAGTCAAGCATTTTTTTGTGTGGAAAAAAATTGTTTTGGTGGATGGAATTTGGAGAGGGTGTTCCCAGGGAGAACAGACCCCAAACTGCTGTGTTGTAGGAGCAGGAAGCTAATGCAGCAATGACATGCCACCAGGCTCTGTTCTGCAATGGAAACACCACGGCAGCTCCTCTCTCATGCCTGGCTGCCATGTGACCTTCCTTTCTGGGGTCTAGAGTGAGCCTGTGATGTGATGTGGAGGACAGGAGTCTCCAGGAGGAAGAAGATCTTCCTTTCAATCAGGATAATCATGTACCCTGAGTGAGTTATTAAAGTCCTCTGAGAGACACTCAGCATCTTATCTGTAAAGCGGATTAGAAATACTTCCCAGGAGAGTTGGCATGTTTACATGAAATAATACATGTGGAGTGCCCAGAACAACCCTTCCTGGCATAGTTTAGGCCCTTCTCTCACTTCCCCCTCCCCAGCTACCTCCAAACATTCACGATGATTCCCAAGCAATCCTTTGTCCCTCTCCCTTTTTATGATTTTCTTTACTTTGCCATTAGTTCCCTATGGCTGTGTGGATTATCACAAATTTAGCAGTTAAAAAAAACACACGCATATATTACCTCACAGTTTCCATTGTAAGGAGTCCAGGCATGGTATGTCTGAGATCTCTGCTCAGAGATTTGTGATGCTGCAATCAAGGTGCCAGCTGAGGTGGTGGGCCCATGAGAGGGCCAGTGTACTCTTTCAAGCTTGCTGATTGTTGGCAGAATTCAGTTCTAGAACTTTAGAGCTCTAGAACTCATAGTGACTTTTTCTCCAAGGAGAAATGCCTTTCTTAAGGAAGATCACAGCTCTCTTTTAAAGGGCTTGCCTGATTAAGTCCGGCCCACCTGGGATGATCTCTCTTTTGGTTAATTCAAAGTCATGTTAGTTAGGAACTTTAATTATATATGCAAAATCATATATAATTTTCCCAAATAATTTTTGCCAAATAATGTAGCCCAGTTATAGCAATGCATTTATTCATTCCATTCACCTATCCCTCCCATGCTGAAGGCGAGGATTAGACAAGGGCTTAACTCACTGAGGAGTCACCTTAGAATTCTGCCTTCCATAACTGTGGTCCTCATCCTTCAGTCAAAATGGGAGTGATTGTGTGTCTGTAGGCATGAATCCAAAGCGTAGCTCAGGGCAGCATGCTTGAACTCTGACCCTTACAGACCTCCTTTCCTAGGGATAACATGAGGTCAGTTGCTGGGTCACAGACAAGGCACAGGGTGGTGAGCAGAGGGATAGCTCACCTATGTTGGCCTCAAAACCCCCAGTTCTTCCTGTTAAGGAGGGCCCTTCTTAGCACAATCCCCTCATTCCACCAAGGTCATCACTGTCTTCATGGGTCTCGTGGTCCTCTTGTCCTCAGTGCTTGTTCCTGGTATCACCTCTTATCTGCTTTCTCTCTCTCTTTTTAAAAAAATATGTCTGATGGATAACAACTTCAGGGAAGCATTTGTTTCTCTTTCATCCATTCATTGAAAATTCATTTAAGTATGTGTGTAAGTCACTGTGGCAAGTGCCCTGGTAGGCATACAGTACAGAAACAGTTTACAAACCCCAATAAGTCAAGTGAGCCAGAGATAAGAGAAAATGTAGACAGGAAGGGGTTGCAGCAACAAACTGGACAGCAGATGGTTTGTCCAAGGGGAGCCACCACGATCTAGGTCTAGGTGACTGTAGCCATGTGAAGGCGAATACAGATTCTCATTTTTGTACCCTTTAATTATTCAAAGAAGTTGGAAATCCAAGTTGTAATGTTAAACATATTGGTTTTTAAAAATGTGAACAGCTATCAGTAATTTTTAAAGAGATTAAAAACACTATCGGTCAACCGGGGTCAGACCCAGGTTGTGGAACCTGAGCCTTGTACAATTTGAGGATCTTCTAACAAATGAGTGCAAAATTATAAATATGACCTTTAGTACAAGAGTGATTATTAACATAGAATAATAAACAAAATCACAACTGACTGCATGGAAAATGCAGGGTTGTTTTTTTTTAATTCAAAGATTCTTCAGAAAGGGTAATATAGAAATGCTTCCTAATTCCATCCTGTCTTCTCCTTTTTTTTCTGGAACTCTAAAACGCCCAGTAGGACCAAGAGAACATGGTTGCAGACTGAGTGAAACTCCTATAGCACGACTTTGTGACCTCTGCCATGACATTTATCCTCTGATCTCCAGGAGATTCTGTCTAGACTCCAGTAGGGAGGATGAAATATGGACCACCAAGTTACCTATTTGAGGAATTACCTATTTAAGAAATGCAGCCTCAGCCTCTCAATTTTTTTTAGTTCCAGAAATATTTATTAAGCCCAGACTGTGTTGTAGCACTGTAAGGGATATAAAGATAAAGCAGATATGGTCTGGAACCTCTGGGGACTGAGTATAGTGGTAAGGATATCCACAAACTCCCAGCAAACCAGAAATCTGGTGTTTT